AGGCAACTTAAATCAAGTATTGTGCAGCTGGTAGGGTCAGAAGCTAAGGAAGAAACAGAAGCTCATATGGAAACCATCCTTTTATGCATGCTGTGCAGACTATTCCGTTAGAGAGACACTAGATATTTTGAGAGAAAGGAGGAATATGTTTCTGTATGTATCCAATCTGAAACTATGGAGTAAGGCTTCTTTTGTTATTGATGTTTATGTACGACTGGATATCTTGGGATTCTTATAGTTATAAAGGACATAAATCCAGCAAACTTTTGTACAGCCTCAATAAGATTGTGAAACTGAAGTTTTATTAATAAAATTACTTCTCAGTAATAAAGAAACAGTAGTACTTAATAAGTGTGTTCCCGTGAAGCCCCCTGGCTTTTGTTACACGACAAAGGTAGTACAACACGAGATGTGTGGTAGGCGCATATCACGAGTTCATCCTGATTGGTGAGCTCTAAGTTGCTCGGACTTGGGTGCGGGTGTCCGATACGAGTGCAGATCCTTCGTGATCCAAATTTTAGATTAGGGCGCACGGATCGAGGTATGGATACGGGTGAGGGGATTCGACTAAAAGTAATTCAAATATCTAAAACCAGAGTTATAAAAATATGTCTAAATTATGAAACATTATGTGAAAAACTTATAAGGTATTCCGAGAAGGAGAAAATATTGATCGAGAGGAGAATCCGAGAAGGAGATAAAAGGAAAATGACTGACATAGAAATTTCTATATACGAAGTATTTCATCTTCTACAATTTCACCTAGCGTTTGCTTTGAATTAAAAAATCATTGTATCGGTTCCGAATTTCTCCGTTGATTTTGGTCAAAGTATCCAAAATCGGTTGACCAGATCCGGTAGTGATCCCTCACCCACACCCGCATCCACACCCACACCCACATCTTGTCGACATGGGTGAGGCACCCAAAGTGAAGAGTCCGAGCAACTTAGGGAGAACTAAATTTGATATTTCTGAGAAAGCACGAGAGAAAATATTATTGCTTAAAAATTCTATGTTACAATGAGCCCTATTTATATGTATACATAACACAACGTACTCCTATTACATACGGGACTAGGACTAATTACATATATTCACATAACTATTCTAACACTCCCCTTCAAGATGATGCATATAAATTATATGTACCGAGCTTGTTACATATGTAACTAATACGAGGACCAGTGAGGGACTTGGTGAAAATATCTGCAAGTTAATCATTCGACTTCACAAACTTTGTAGCAATATCTCCCGAGTAACTTTTCTCTGACAAAGTGACAGTCAATCTCAATGTGTTTAGTTCTCATATGAAACACTGGATTTGATGCAATATGAAGAGCGGCTTGATTATCACACTCAAGTTCCATCTAGCTTATCTCACCAAATTTCAACTCCTTGAGTAACTGTTTGATCCAAATTAGCTCACATGTCGCCATATCCATTGCTCGATATTCTGCTTCTGCACTAGACCGAGCAATCACATTCTGTTTCCGGCTCTTCCAAGACACCAAATTACCTCCTACTAAGACACAATATCTAGACGTAGAACGTCTATCAGAAGGTGATCCTGCCTGATCAGCATCTGAGTATCCAACGATCTGTTCATGTCCTTGATTCTTAAACAATAAACCTTTGCCTGGAGCTGATTTTATATACCGAAGAATGCAGACAACTGCATCCCAATGGCTATTACATGGAGAATTCATAAACTGACTCACAATACTCACAGGAAAGGAAAAGTCAGGTCTAGTCACTGTGAGATAATTTAATTTACCAACCAGCCGCCTATCTGAAAGTGCTGAAAGAAATGTTGCTTCAACTTAATAATACCATCCTGATCATTACCGGTAATAACAATATCATCAACATAAACGACCAGATAAATACAGAGATTTGAAGCAGAATACCGATAAAACACAGAGTGATCAGCTTCACTACGAGTTATGCCAAACTCTTGGATAACTGTGCTGAACTTACCAAACCAGCCTTGTAGGAGACTGCTTTAGACCATAAAGTGACCGGTGCACGCGACATACAAGGCCACTAGACTCTTCCTGAGCAATAAAACCAGGTGGTTGCTCCATATAAACTTCATGCTCAAGGTCACCGTAATGTCCAACTGATAGAGAGGCCAATGACGAACAACAACCATGGATAGAAAAAGGCAGACGGAAGCTATTTTAGCCACGGGCGAGAAAGTATCATTGTAATTGAGCCCAAATATCTGAGTATATTCTTTGGCAACAAGACGGGCCTTAAGTCTATCAACCTGACCATCCCGACTAACTTTGACTACATAAACCCAACGACACCCAACAATAGATTTACCTGAAGAAAGAGGAACAAGCTCCCAAGTACTACTCGTATGTAAAGCAGACATCTCGTCAATCATAGCCTGTCGCCATCCTGGATGAGACAGTGCTTCACCTGTAGACTTACGGATGGAAATAGAGGACAAAGAAGATACAAAAGCATAATGGGGCGATGACAGACGATGATAACTTAAACCGACATAATTGGGATTAGGATTAAGTGTGATCCTTATACCTTTCCGAAGTGCAATCGGTTGACTAGGAGGAGACAAGTCCGCAGTAGGAGCAAGGTCAAGTGCAGGACGTGAATCAGCTGGAACTGATGCTGGGCGTGAATCAGGGTCTAGAGATATCACACTTACAATATGCTAATGATACATTAGTTTTCTGTGATGCTAATACAGAATAATTGAAAGTTCTGAGGGTGATTCTCATCCTGTTTGAGGTTTGCTGCTGAAGAATAGTCCCTGTGGAGGAATACTATTAGGATAAAATATGGAATGAAAGGTAAGTGGATTACGAAAGAGGGGAATAGTCCAGATGGAGTAGGTATGTCGAAATCCATCAGTAAATTATGGCCAATTTAGAAATAAATCCAAAATCAAAGGGAAATGGAGTGAAAACATCCTTTTGGGATGATAAATGGCTAGGCCAAAGATCTTTGAAGCAACTTTTCCCTGATATCTACCGTATGAATCAGCAGCAGGAAGCAACCGTGAGAGAGGTTTGGATGCTCTCAAGAATCAAAGCCTGATGATGAAATGGTTATGGAGGTTTGCTGCTGAAGAATAGTCCCTGTGGAGGGATACTATTAGGATAAAATATGGAATGAAAGGTAAGTGGATTACGAAAGAGGGGAATAGTCCATATGGAGTAGGTCTGTCGAAATCCATCAGTAAATTATGGCCAAAATTTGGAAATAAATCCAAAATCAGAGGGAAATAGAGTGAAAACATCCTTTTGGGACGATAAATGGCTAGGCCAAAGATCTTTGAAGCAACTTTTCCCTGATATCTACAGTCTGAATCAGCAGCAGGAAGAAACCGTGAGAGAGGTTTGGGGTGATCCAGGATGGAACCTTAGCTTCAGAAGGTTTCTAAATGACTGGGAGATTGACAGGCTAGCAGAGTTCTACAATACCCTAGAACAATTCACAGGGTTGTCTACAAATGTAGATAGCTTATTATGGGGTGGGAGTGCACAAGGAAAGTTTACTGTGATGTCAACTTATAAGGAGTTAACTTCTCCAATAATCAGATTGGTTGTTGTCCCTGGAAATTGATATGGAAGGTTAAGATCCCATTCAAAGTTGCTTGTTTCACATGGTTACTGGCGAAAGAAGCTGTACGGACTCAAGACAATCTTACCCCGAGGGGATTCCATTTATGTTCTAGATGCTATTTATGTGGTGCAGAGGCGGAGACAATCAATCATCTCTTTTTACACTGTAGAATGACAGATCAATTATGGATGATCTTCATTAATTTGAGGGGGATTAGGTGGACCAAGGAGTATCCTAGATGTGCTAGCATGTTGGAATACAGATGGCAGCCTTTCCAACCAATAAGAGAGATGGAGGATTTCCCCAGCTTGTATTTGGTGGACAATCTGGAAGGAGAGAAATCAAAGATGTTTTGAAGACAACAAAGTTCCTTGCAGAAGATGAAGATGAATTATTTAGCCCTTTTTATTTTTGTTGTAAACGAGAATACTTACAGGATGCTGAGTCTATTTTTGAGGTGCTAGATTATTTGTAGATGTAATGGATTTGGGCGTCAGTGTGTATTCCACCTTGTAATTATGTGGGACTACATTGCTTTGTGTAGTTCCAGTTTTTATATATATACAAATATGTTACCTTGTCAAAAAGAAAAAAAGATTTTATTCGTGAATGCAGCAATGTGAGGGAGTTTCATCGTCGGCAATTGTTAAATCAGCCAAGTCCTTGTTTTCCGTGAGTGCCGTGCATAACCAGTACCCACCATTGGACATCTCATGTGTTGTTACGTCCCTTCACAGAGAAGAAACTTTTTCATTATTGGTTCTCACTAAAAGGTTGACATAAAGCTTTTCAATCACCTTTTGGCGAGGTTCTCATCTTCCTGGAGGTCGACTGCTTGCTCCGAAGTGAGCCATCCAAGTTCCAACTTATTTTTGTGGTCGGAACCTACCTATTCACTTGTCTGAGTGTTATGATGAAGTTCTCTGCGCTACGACCAACTTTTTTCCAATCTTCTAATTGATGGGGAAGCCATCGAGCCTTGCCACTCTGCTCAGGTGCTTTCTAGAAATTTTTTAACCTCGATTTACTACTGATAGTAATAAGAGTTTTCAGATTTCTCATCGTCCGACCAACTTTTCTTCACATTTCCAGCATATTAGAAGTTGATTTACATCTTTAATTATGTCCAGAAGATTCCAGCAGTGATATTCCGGCAATTTATTTTCCTGAAATAATGGCATTGATAGCATTGTTTATTGCTCTGAAGTTACAAATCTTTCGATCCAAATGTTTTCCTGACTTCTTGTGTACTTTATGGATCCTAATGTTGAGAAAGTCTTCTGATTTTATCACCAATCTGCTGAAAGTGGTATACCTGAAGTTTTTCACTTCCAGATTGTTTGCTCTGTACTTTAATTCTTGTCGTACTTTTTAGTGTTCTATGGCTTACAAAATGCTACTTACAGATGCCATTTTGTCTCCTAATGGATGGCCTTGTAAAGTCTGGACATCTTCTTGAAGCAAAATCAGTATTTGATGAGATGATGGGAAAACATGTGAAAACTGGTATGCATCTTTCATACTATGGACAGGCTATTGGCCATTCTAAAATTTCTAATAAAATATGTTGGAAACTCACTGTGAGGTTCAGTAGTGAAATGAGTAAAAATTTATTCTTGAGCTCTTCAATTTTTGTCAGTTCGATCAGAGTGTACTTGGTGCCTTTTGCTTCATGTATCTGTGCAGCCGAGATGTATTTTAGCTGGTTTGAGTACATTATGTTGATGCTTCTTCATATGTTCAAGCTGGTCAAATTACTTTGCGATGTTTTAAGTCCGGTGTCTGCCCGGGTTCTCTATGCTCTCAAACAATGGGTGTCGACAAGCGCTGCTTCTTCCTAGTTTGCCTGCACTATCAACTTAGAGATTACCTACTCGATGTGTTTCCTTGTGCACTATCATTGCCTCACTTTATTATATTTGAGGGGTTCCTGCACATGGATTAAAGTTTTACGTTCTGTGTTAANATCAGAGTGTATTTGGTGCCTTTTGCTTCATGTATCTGTGCAGCCGAGATGTATTTTAGCTGGTTTGATTACATTATGTTGATGCTCCTTCATATGTTCAAGCTGGTCAAATTACTTTGTGATGTTTTAAGTCCGGTGTCTGCCCGGGTTCTCTATGCTCTCAAACAATGGGTGTCGATAAGCACTGCTTCTTCTTAGTTTGCCTGCACTATCAACTTAGAGATTACCTACTCGATGTGTTCTTCCTTTCCTTGTGCACTATCATTGCCTCACTTTATTATATTTGAGGGGTTCCTGCACATGGATTAAAGTTTTACGTTCTGTCTTATTTTTCTTGTAATTTATATTTATTTGATTTGGTCTTTTGGTTATAAATGAGCAGATGGATACTCCTATAGCATTATGATTTCAGCATTCTGCCGCAGTGGGCTTCTCGAAGATGCAAAGAAATTAGCTTCTGAATTTGAAGAAAAATATGACAAATATGATGTAGTTATTTTGAATGCAATGCTCTCTGCCTATTGCAGAGCAGGGGAAATAGAGAATATAATGAGCATGATGAAGAAGATGGATGACTCTGCAATTAGTCCTGATTGGAATACCTTTAATATTCTTATAAGATATTTCTGCAAGGAGAAGCTATATTTGCTTGCTTATCGTACCATGGAGGACATGCATAGAAAAGGTCACCAGCCAGAGGAGGTAGGCAGAAGTTAAAAACTCTCACTGTTTTTTTAATCAATAAAAAGAAATAAAGTGGCATTTATAGCAGGGTTAACTGTTGTTGGCATTCTGTACACGGTTTAGCATTCTAGAGACCCCAGACTCACTAGATTAAGATAACATCCTAAACTACTTTTTCTTAACTGCTTTTGTGGCCCAGTGATTAAGAAAACAATATGCTCAATTGCAGATGCTTGTTTGTGTGGGTTGATGTGAGTCAAAAGTAAACTTGTATTGTTGCTCAATGAGGCATCTAATTATAGAAATGATTTAAACGGCAGTGCATCAGGGTTAGGTCAACCATCAAGCAGAAAAATTTGTTGCAGTGGCTGAATTTGGAATAAATTCTGTTGTGCACTTCACAAAGAATACACGACATCAAAATTTCTCTTTGTTTTTTGGTTTTCCAATAGCAACAAACCCTTGTGGAAACAGCCTCTTGCAGAAATGCAGGGTAAGACTGCGTACAATAGACCCTTGTGGTCCGGCCCTTTCCCGTGACCCTGCGCATAGCGGGAGCTTGGTGTATTGGTCTGCCCTTTTTAATAGCAACAGTCTCAACTGCCTCTACTTTGGTGACCCCGAATTGCTGATGTCCAGTTTTTAGTTAATTTGTGATGTGTTCCCCTATATTTTGCGCTAATGCACAAGTAAAATATAATCACTGGATAGCTAGTAGAAGAATTTGTTCTTTTTTCTTTTTTGAATAGAATAATTAGATCCTCTTTCTCTTTTTAAAGTATTCTTTCTTCGACCTTGGAAAAGCTAAAAATTTAGGTTGCTCCGTTCTTCTCAACCCCATTTGTGCCTGAAGTTTCACTTTAGCTTTAGACATAATTGAATCAATGATGAGACTTGAAAAATTTGTATGAGGTGCTAGTTTTTTTTAAACTATACATTGGTAATTATAATGAAAAATATGACATAAATGTTATCAGTAGTTCTAACACTCTCTTTGTTTAACTTTTTCCCTTTTCAGGGACTTTGTTCCTCTTTAATTTATCATCTTGGTAAGACAGATGCACATTCAGAAGCATTTTCTGTATATAACATGCTGAGATATAGCAAAAGAACCATATCCAAATCCCTTCATGAGAAGATTTTGCACATTCTGATTGCTGGGCGCCTTCTCAAAGATGCTTATGTAGTTGTCAAGGTACTCCATACCTACTTTTTCTTGCAATTTTCGTCTGTGTTTTGCTGTTTCTCATAAAGAATCCTATTTTAATCACTAGCTATACAGGACAATGCAGGATTCATCTCCCGGCCGGCTATCAAAAGGTTTGCTGTCAACTTCATGAGATCTGGCAATGTAAACTTAATCAATGATGTGATGAAGGCCATGCACAGCTCTGGCCACAAGATTGATCAGGTACAAGAAGTTTCAATTTGCCTCTATCATTATTGTTTAGATAAGCATCGTCCTTTAAAATATCAGGTATCATGGACTTAACTAATATTGTGTTGAGAAGGTCATCGAACTTTTCTGGCAATAAGATTGATCAATCTGTTTTAGATTGTGTGTGCCTATTTGATATTACTATACTAAGGTTTGGGTTCTTTTTTTCCCGCGCTCGCTTGTGTGGTTCTAGTATGAAGCATGGAACATGCCTTCGTTGGCATAACCTAAGTTCGTTGGGGTGAGAATGTTGCATATGTCTTCTCTCATAAGTGATCATCATAGGAGAAAGGTCACCACACTTTACTGCTATGAAGCGTAGAAACTGAAATAACAGAACTAAATAAAGATGAAATCCAGATTGTATTGAAATGACAAAAAAGATGTATTCAAGCAAATATGTTTATAGGCCATTAGTATTGGAGAATGTATTTTTCTATGTATCGAGAAATCTGTCATAGCCTGAGGAGCATGTATAAACGTGCAATGACACGGGATGTTAAAAAATTAGGGTGAACAACACAAACATGGCAAAATTTATCATTGTTATGTTTCCTTCATCTACCCAGTGTTGTGAAGAGCGTGAAGCGAGGAAAAGCGACATGCCCCTTTTCTCTTAAAGCGAGAAGCGAGAAGCGAAGCGCTCGCTTTTTTGAAATGAAGCGGAATTTAAAAAAAAAAAATTAAAATAAGAACAACTGAAACGAAAAAATAAGAACTAAGAAGAAGGCCATTAAAAGAACAATTACATAACACATAAGAAAGGCAATAAGAACTAAGAATAAAGGATATTAAAATAAGAAGAAGGGCAGTATAAGTATAACTGAAACGAAAAAATTGGGCAGCATTTCAAACGAAAAAACAGTGCAAGAAAATGAAGAAGAAGAGGAGGAGAAGAATGAGAAAGAAGAACTGAAGGGATAAAAAACAAATTCGCCAGCATTTCGCTGCTATTTGGACGCTGAAATAGTGAATGAAGAAGGAGGAGGAGGAGGAGGAGGAGGAAGAAGAAGAAATCACATACCTGGACCAAACTTGATGATCTTGAAGTTGAAAAGTGTAGAAAACTTGAACCCTAGGTCGCCTCTTTCTTTCTCTGTTGCCGCTGGTCGATGATGTTTTAAAAAAAGAACAGTTTTTTTAATTAAATAGGTTGGCAGCCCTGTAATACAGAGAAGCGCTCGCTTCTTACGCATCGCTTCGCATCTGCGCTTCTCGCTTTTTAATGGGAAGCGAGCGCTTTTTTAAACCTGCTACGCTTCAGCTAACAGAAGCGTTCGATGGCTTGCCTCGCCTCGCCTCGCTTCGCTTCGCTTCTCGCTTTAAGCGAGGAAGCGCTCGCTTTTCACAACACTGCATCTACCATAAGAAATAAATAACTATAGAACTAAAACATAAATAACTAAACAGATTCAGTTTGTCGGCATCTCAATGAAGATTAAGAAAATATCGTAAATAGTACCGACAAGATCTTAAAACGTAGTACGAAATGGCTAAATGTAAACTAATAAAATTAAAAGTAATAACATCTGTCTAATGTTACTCAGTTTTACGTAAGATTAATGCGAAATAGGCATCAAGCAACCTTACTTCATTATTTTTAACATCATCCGCTCTTGATTGTAGTGGATTGTTAACTTTCAAAATGAACGACAAAGTAGGTGGCCAGCCTGAGAAAGCAGAGAAGCCAAGTTCCACCAGAGAAGACACGACCCGTTGCAAAGCAGGGTGATGTCCTGTCGGTGTCCAATAGAAGAAATACAAACATCCAAAATGGTTTATACAAGTATCTGAGTTTTAAAAAGTTAAAGGAGCAAACCACAATGGGTGCCAAACCTGTTTCAGATAGACTGTCACTGAGCATTTCAAACAACGCTGTCCCATATACGTGTTCACCTACTCCTATGGACTGGCGATTCCTATTTTATTAAGTGAAAGAAGAAACTCTATTTTATGATTTTTGATATTTCACTGATTCAACTCTGTTTCTTAGCCGGTCTTTGTCCGAAAGAGAGAAAAGAAGAAAAGAGAGGCAAAAACCAAGCCTCTCTTCCACGTCAAGAATTTGGATTGCACTGACTTATACCTTGTGTATCGGGCACTTATTTGACATGCAGAATTTGGTTGTTGGCTTTTTTTGGTTGTCAATTTGGAGGCAAACATAACTCTAGCATTTATATAGGAGCGTACTTTAGCAAAGATGCTAAAATCTCCTCTCTTGAAACACTCTTCTCAGGAATTATTTAATATGGCTATATCACGCTACGTTCCAAAACCAGAAAAGAAGGAACTACTTCTGCAGTTACTGGAGTGGATGTCTGGTCAAGGCTATGTTATTGATTCATCAACAAGAAATTTGATTCTGAAGAACTCTCACTTGTTTGGCCATCAACTTATTGCTGAGTCATTGTCCAAGCAGCTTGTGGTGTCAAAAAAGGTGAAACCTCGCAAGGAAAATGCAAGATAACATAAACTGGATAGCAAAGTTGAGCAGTAATTTTTTGTATAGAGAGCTCTGAGGTCTTAAGCTGGTAATTACGTTGCTAAGGCAACCTATATTTGCAGAAGCAGCTTCCATTGTCTCAGCTTCAGGACATCTATGGCAATGTGATATGAGACAGCTCGATCAAGTTGCAAACAAAGAGATCAATTACAAGAACTAGAGTTAAGAAGACCAAAGAAGCCATGAATGGAGGAGACATGAAGCTCCTTGGACCAATGAAGGAGCGTGAAAGAAGATTCAAGATTGTTTTGCTTTGGGCTTGCGAGCAAGAAAAGCCCGACATTTGCTGACTTGAGATGAATTGGCCATGTTCTTTTAATTGAACTTTTAGGAACTTATCATAATAAGTGACACATGATTAACACATTTTAAGGCTTATTTAGCTTATTTTTATATGCTTTATTAGCATGAAATTACACAGATTGTCCTCATGAGGGACTGATATTCATTTTTTGTTCCCATTTTTGATTTTGTTGTGCAAGCTAAGCTTTGGTTTATACACAATAAGAAGTGACACATGATGGTCGCACATTTTAAGGCTTATTTAGCTTATTTTTATATGCTTTATTAGCACGAAATTACACAGATTGCCCTCACGAGGGACTGGTATTCATTTTTTATCCCCATTTTTGATTTTGTTGTGAAAGTAGGCTTCTTTGGTTTAATATACACATAATTGACATTTTTACCCGTCCATTCTTATGTTTCTTCTCCAACTCTTGTTTTTCACTAAGACCATCATAGTTCTTAAATTTTAGAAGCTTGAATTTCTTGTTTGGTGATTGAAATTCGGACTTAATGGTTGATTATTGTTAAAATCGTTTGAGTGTTGATTATTTGTGCTTAAATTTTTATTTCAAATAGTGATTTAGTGATTTGCTTTAAAAATCTTAAAACTCCATTATTAGTCCTTAGAAAGTGTTGAAGAAGACAGTGAGTCTTTGTTGATTTGGTGTTATTTGACTAAATTGGTGATAGGGGATCATTTGTGTTGTTGTTTGGAGGTTTTGTTTAGTATTTGAGATCATTTAGAGTAGGTCTCAATTGGAATTGCAAATTTAAAAAATACTTTGTTGAACACCACAGATAAATTTGTGCTAATTGAGTAGAATTTGTATACAATTTAATAGATAGGCCGAATGCAGATAACTTAAAGTTATGCTAATCTTGTTTTTTTTTTTTTTGGTTTGGTGATTGAAATTTGAAGTTAATGGTTGATTATTGTGAAAATCGTTTAAGTGCTGATTATTTGTGTTTAAATTTTTATTTCAAATAGTGATTTAGTGATCTGTTTTATTGGTGATTGTGGATCATTTGAGTTGGTGTTTGGAGGCTTTGTTCAAATTTGAGATCATTTGGAGTAGATTTGCTAAAAATTTTAAATTGCAAATTTGAAGAACACTTTATTGAACAGTACATATAAATTATGTTAATCGAGTAGAATTTGTGAACAATTTGACAGATAAGTCGAATGCATATAACTTTAAGTTATGCTAATTTGGTGGATAATTGGACAAGCAAAAGTCATGCAGGTCGGTAGAGTTTGAGTTATCCAACAAGATAACTGGATCGAATATAGCATAAATTTATGACGATTCGGTAGAATTTATGAATAATTGAATAAGATAGGTAGAATGAATATAGCACAAAGTCATGACAATCCAGTATAAACTGTGACCAGTGAACGAGATAGATAGAATAGATATAGCACCAAAATCATGTCAATATGATAGAGTTTGGTGAACAATTGAACTAGCAAAGTCATGCAAATCATTAAAATTTATGAATAATTAAACAAAATTGGTAAAAAGAATAAACACAAAACTATGCCAACCTGGTAGAATTTTGTGAATAATTGAACACTCAAAGTCTCCGACTATTGGTTGGAATAAATTTAATTAAGATTGATAAACTCGTTTCTCAATCAATGATATTGATAAGGGTGTTTCTGATTGGGCTATTTTTATTTTTGGCCCAACAACCAAAAATAATTACAGGCGGTAGCCCAAATACATAAAAATATACTTATTACATATATTATATGTATATTTATTCAAATATACAAAATATATACATTTGCGGGCTATTAGTTTTTTGGCCAGCCAAAAGTATTATTATTCAGATTTAATATGACAACCAAAGTGGCAAACATAACTTTCCAATAGGTGATTTATCTTTCTATAGAACTAATCTTTATATATCTTCTTTCTTTTAATCAATCCTAAGAATTCCTATTTCTTTTAGAAACAAGACGGAAATGGAGAAGCTAATAGTCATTCGCATGATAAGCTTATTAATACTAGCAGTGGCAATAGCAGCAGCCATAGATAAAAGCCAAAAAGCTGTGGAATATTGGCTCAATTTGGGTGATGAAAGAGATTAGTGTTGCGTTTTAGGGTGTTTTAGTCGAAACAAATTTCATTCAGCTAAAATAAGGCCCTTTTTGCATAGCTCTCAAAACGGTAACAAAATTTAAATACTAGTGAAAGTGTCACGTTTGTGCAAATCACCCCTTTAATAGATGGTTATAGACCTATGCATGTGGGCCTAGTTTGAAGGGCTTATTATTGTGGAAATGACGTGAGGTGGCCCGTTTTTAACCTGCTATTTAGTGTTTAGCTATCAATTTTAATGCTGAGCAAAAATAGCTACTAATCTGTTATAATTAATATTAAGAGATTTTTTATCCTTTCTTCGTCTCTTTTCTTTTCCAAACCCTTTTCATTATCAAAACCCTCGTTTCTTCCCTTCTGGAGAGAGGACTGAACCTCGTTTGATTTCCCAATATGCAGTAGTAAATTTTTCCAAAAAATCACAAAAGTTTTCATCAATTTTCATCAACGTCCTATACGTAGGTATAATTTCTGTTTAAACTTGTTTTTTCCCCATGATTTCGTCTTCGATTTTCACTTTCTAGGCACTAGCTACTACATGCTTCATGTTCTTATATTGTGCCTCCTCTACTTGGTTGTTTATTACATTCTGATTTTTATGATGCTGAACTTGAATCCTAATGTTATCAACTATTCAATCTTTGAACCTTTTTTATTTTCATTTTTAGATCCCTTATTTAAAAAAAAAAACTCGAAAATTTACTCCATCCTTACTAAGGTTTAATCAGAGGATGGAGGACCCTGCAATTTCTGGAGCCATATATAAAATATTGATGTGAGTTGGTATTAAAAATTTCATTGCTTATCGATTTAAGTACTATTACCCGAGTGAGAAGGAACAAAGTGTACTAGGCGATTGCCTGATTAGAGTTTGTTGCTTACTAGTTTTTTGATAATCTTTTCTCACTCTCATTTGTTTCGTAATATTAGTTTTTTACTTTAAATATTCAGGACATTTCAGAAAAATGGTCGTTTACCTCCTATTTCCTTCTCTGTTGATTCTAAGTTCAGAGATATGACCTTAGCACTTTCAGACATTAGACTAAAATTAGGTCCTGAATATTAGTTTTTTACTTTAAATATTCAAGACATTATAGAAAAATAGTTCCGAAGTATACCTGCTATTTCTTTCTTTGTAGATTAGTAGATATATTTAATATATTATTTATTGGTGAACTGAATTTGTTATAAATACAGGCTCTGAGTATTGTGGTAATGGAAGGAGATCGATATTTCGAGTTTGACGATTGGCGTAATCTGAATAGTTATTCGAAAGGAGATTTTCATTATAAGGAAACAATAAAAAATTTCTTGTCGAAAGCGTAATGGAAGAAATTGAGAGAGGGTGTTTTTGAAAAATTTTTCTGGCTGAAAAATGTTAAATTATGTGGCAAATTAATTCATTGTATGTTGATTTATGAAATTGTAAGCAATGATATAAATTCAATGACTTTTAAGGTTTTTGATCACGAAGTGAAGTTTATAAGTGAAGCCTTCCATATAATTACTGGGTTGAAATGTTCTTCTTCAGGAGACTTCAACTTTTTGAATGAAAGAGAGAATAGACTTTCTAATTTACTTCCCTAGTAAGGAAAGAATTGATTTAGGGGATTTGTGACATTTTATTGCTACTCGCCCATTTTACACACTTGCATCATTTGTAGGCAGCGACGACTACGTAATGAAGCTGGCAACAATCTATTTTGTTGAGTATGTGTTGATGGGTAAGCGTAAGACTAGAAATGTATCTGAGCGGGTAATGAAAATCATTGATGATGATCAACTCTGCTCTTCTTTCCATTGGAGCTCTTTTTATTTTTAAAAGTTAGTCAACTCACTGAAAAGTTGCTTGAAGTCCAAACAAAATACTTCAGACAATGAGAATGAGAAAGAGAAGGACACTTATACTATACTTGGCTTTCCTTTTGCCTTCTATGTTTGGATAATGGAATTATTCCCAGCTTTCCAGGCAAAAAAGACTTTGTCAAATTCAGAGAATGCGAGTTTCCTAGGATGTTATGTTATTTAGATATGAAATCTCCGCATTAAGAGAGCCCTTGTAAAAACTACTTCCATAACGAAAAAGTAAGTTAATAGTATTAATGGCTATCCTTTTGTATATGTGTTTTGGTTCTAATACTGTCACGACCCGAAATCCCAACCGCGGGGCCGTGATGACGCCTAACACCGTATGTCAGGAAAGCCAACACAACATATAGTTCAAGAGAAGGAAAAGCAATAAAAGATTGATACTGGTCAATAACATAACATAAACCACCCCAAGATCCAATGTCACAAGTACATGAGCATCTAGATCTATCTAAATACAAGGTTTCAAAAGTAATACAATACTGTCCGAAATAAAATAAAAATAATACAATAAAATAGGAAAGTGACTTCTAAGGCATGCAAATGGGATGCAGCTCTACCTCGAGTCACTAACTGGTATATGCTAAGCGCCTCTTGGGACTCCGTTGGTACCAACATCAAAATCTGCACAAGAAGTACAAAAGTATAGTATGAGCACAACCGACCCAATATACTCAGTAAGTGTCGAGCCTAACCCCGACGAGGTAGTGACGAAACTAAGATAAGACACATACTAAAAACCTATGCAGATGTATATATAAAACATTAGAAATAACAAGTAAAGCATTAAAAGTAATAACGGGGTAGGGACATATAAAGGGGGCAACAATAAGAACATTAAGTACAGAATTACCAAGTATGTCTCTTTCTTAAATAAGCAACAAAATCGCCAAGTGAAAGTTACAATCCAAGTATCAAGTAAAAGCAATGAAATCATCAAATTGCATGGCAGCACCCTTCATGCTTTTACCCTCATCCTCACCATATAATATAAATGCAATTGCACGGCATTACTTTTCGTGCTTTTACTCTCATCTTTACCATGTAATATAAATGAATAAAGCATGTGCACGACATCACCATTCGTGCTTTTACTCTCATCCTCACATGATAATAATAGAGCAATCAAGTGCACGACACCACCCTCCGTGATTTGAGCCTCACATTCACGCAATCAATGATAATAATATGAAAATATGGCACGTTAACACTCTTCGTGCTTTTCACTCTTCCTCACCAAGCAATAATAATAACCCAAAGTATCAAGCAAGGTGGGAAGTAAATTTCAACTTCAACCATGGTGCTAGAATAAGCAAATTCAACTTTCAATATCACAACAATCTCAACTTGAGAGATGAACATGAAAGCGAACAATTAAAGAATAAACAATCTAGCTAAGACATGGAAAGCATAGTAAATGAATCAACATGGTACAAACAAGACAAATTCCACCCGCATGTTTTAACCCATGACAACATATATATACTAGTCACCTTGCATATATGCTATCCCCACACTTAGTTCATATAGCAAATAGACCAAACAAGTCCTAATTTCCTAAAATCAAAGTTAACCACGACACTTACCTCACTCCGCAACCATATCAACAATCAACCACGGCTTTGCCTTTTGAACAAGCCTCCAAATCAATCAAATCTAGCCAATTATAGATCAAATAATTCAAAACCCGATTACCCATTCACTCCCGAGTCCGGTTATGTGATTTGTTTCGAAATGTGACCTCAATTTGAGGTCTAAATCTCAATTTTATAAAATCCCTAAATTCTTCCCAAACCCCCTAATTTCTGCCATGAAATTCATAGATTTGATGTTAAAAATTCATGAAAAGTAATTGAAACTGATTGAAAAGTAACTAGAGATGCTTACCAATGAATTTGGGAAGAATAAGTTCTTCAACAATCACCTCTAGAGAGCTTAGGGTTGAAAAAAAGGTGTAAAATGAGCTAAGTCCCAATTTCTCAATCTTTTACCCAGCTGCAAATGTCGCATTTGCGAACACTTTTTCGCAAATGCGAGACACTGGTTGCAAATGTGAACAGTACATCAGATACATAGAAGTTGCAAATGCGACAAAACCTTCACATTTGCGAAGGTCCCTCCTTCCACAAATGCGAACTAAGCTTTGCTTTTGCGAAGTTTCCCCAAAGTTGCCAGAGTCACAAATGCGAGAGTTTAGCCGCATTTGTGATTTCCCAGCCTTCGCAATTGCGGTCCCTTTTTTACAAATGAGAAATTCCCCAGTCCCAGTGCCTTTTGCAAATGCGATCACGTGACCGCAAAAGAGAAACTCGCAAATGCGAGATTTGCAGGTCGCACCAGCAACTGCTGAGCACCAGCAGTTCTAAAACCATCCAAACTCATCCGATACTCACCCGAAACTCTCCCGAGCCCCTTGGGCTCCAAACCGAACATGCACACAAGTGTAATAATATCATACAAACTCGCTCGCTACCTTAAATCATCAAAATAACACCAAATAACAAGAATCGATCCTCAAAACTCAAGATTTCAACTTGAAAACTCAATTTTCACAATCTTTCACATAATGTGCCGAAATGCGCTCGGGTCACCCCGGACCCCAACCAAACATGCGTACGAGACCAAAAATATGAACCTACCGGAATTGCAAAAATATCGATCCGGGTTCGTTTATCAAAAATATTGACCATGGTCAACTCTAGCCTCATTTTAAGTCAAAAATCTCATTTTCTTCAAACATTTACGTAAAAGCTTTCTAAAAAGAGATACGAACCACGAACGCAAATCAAGAAACATCAAATGAAGTTATGGGAGATCCTGAAATACAGAAATAAAGGCTAGTACTCAAAACGACCTATTGTATCGTCACAAATACATACTTTATTTTCTTATAAAATAGATATTTGAGATACTCGAGATGGTACCACTTGTTTATTCTAATGAAGTAGTAGAGCCCACTAGTGTGCATCCACAATTATCTCGAGTTGAAAGTTCATTGCCTTCAACACAATTTGATGAAGGCTTAGTTAATGAAATTGTTACAGTAAGTTTTCTGTCTTTGAATACATTTAGTTTTTTTGTTTGCTTATTTTTGCTTAAGAGACTTTTCTGTTTTATGGTTTTTGATTTAGAGGTTATCAACGAAGTTTAAAAAGGATTTGCTGGAAGAATGTGTTAAAATTCATCAAAAAATAACTTTATCAGAAAAAGAATTCAAAAGGACATCAAGGTAACATGAAAATAATTTGTTACTCTTGCTTACATGTTATCATGAACTTTTTACTGCTAATTCTGAATTCTGGACTAAGTGTCATAAATTTCTAAGATGCTAATTAGGAATTGAGGACTAACTGTCCTGGATTTTGAACTTCTAATTTTAAATTCAGGACTAATTGTCCTGAATTTTTGAGATTCTAAATTTAAATTCAGAACTAACTATCTTGAATTTTTGAGTTTCTAATTTTTAATTTAGGACTAAGTGTCTTAAACTTATAAGCTTCTAATTAGGAATTGAGGAATAACTGTCTTGAAGTTTTGAGCTTCTAACATTAAATTAAGGACTAACTGTCCTGAGTTTTTTTTGCATCTAAGTTTAAATTCAGGACTAACTGTCCTGAATTTATAAGCAGCTAATAATACTAATTTTAATTTTAAATACTTTCTCACAGGCTTTAAAGAGAAACCTAGAGTCGAAGATTAATACTTTATTAGAGCTTCTTGAGAAACCAAATGAAAGGAACAAAGAGAGAGAACCTAGTGTTCCATTAAATAGCAAAGATGCAGTTGATGATCAATGTGACGATAATGAAGATCATTATGGAAGCTTTTATTCATATGTGCATCTAGAAGATGAAACTGATATGTGCATTAGAATTGGGAAAATTGAATAACATAACAAATCTTAACTATTTTGTGCTTACAAATGTTATAGAATCTTGTGATGAGTTAAAAAAGAAAGATTGAGTGGAATGTCAAGATGAGGAAAATCCAAAAGAGAGAAGTATAACTGAAATCATTTGCGAATGTGGAATGCAGTCTCAGGATGTAGAAAATCCCCTAGGAACAAGTATAAGTGAGATTGTATGCAAATGTGTAGAAAGAATATATGATATATCTATACCTCTCTCCCTTAAAACCAAATTTGGAAATCAAATGATGCTAATCATGGTCAGATAGAATTTTATTGATCTTATACATCTTAGTTTCAGTAAAATATTAGTAACACGTAATAATAGTATTTGCTCTTATAAATTGTCACGACCCAAAATCCCAACACAGGCCACGATGACGCCTAACATCCCTTGCTAGGAAAGCCAACACAATGAAAATACTGAAGAAAAGGTAATTTACGACTAACAACATGATAATAAGAAAGTAAAATAAACATGATAGGTCTAAAACCAACAACTACGCAATCTATCCAAGATATGGTGACACAAGTACATGAGCTTCTCGAATTTTCTATATACACTGTTCTAAAAGAAAATACAACACTGTCCAAAAAATGGAAACAATACGCCAGAAATAAGAAAGTGACTCTAAGGCCTGCGAACGAGATTGTAACAACTCGACTATCATTTTGAGCTTTACCATT